TTAAGAATCTTGAGATGAGGAGACCATCCTGGATTATCCAGGTTAGACCCAATGTAATCACAAGGGTTCTTATAAGCGAGAAGCAGAAGGATCAGAGTCAGAGGTGATGTAGTGAGGGAAGCAGAAGTCGGAGTGATGTGAGGAAGGATCTATGAGCTGAGGAACGCAGGTGGCCTCTAAAAACTGGAAAAGGCAAAGACATAGATTGTACTCTAGAAACTGCAGAAAAGGCCTGGCACCGCCTGCCATTTTAGCTATTTTCGAGTATATGATTCAGTGGCATTCACTACATTCATAGTGTTGTGTAAAACTGGATATCCACGTGTAAAAGAATGGAGCTCCATTACACTCTAAACACAAATTAGAACAGATCCCTCATGTCTTTTTATAACTTCCAGTTTTGGGAAGTTTCTGTACTATCTAATTTTTAAAAATTAGCTTCGCATGGTGAGGGGCACCTGTGGTCCCAGCTACTTGGGAGGCTGAGGTGGGAGGATTGCTTGATCCCCGGAGTTAGAGGCTACAATGAGCTATGATCATGCCACTGCACTCCAGCCTAGGTGACAGTAGACACTGTCTCTTAAAAAATTTTTTTGGAGAGAAAAAAAAAAAAGACAGGCTGTTCCTAAGGTGCCTGGGAACCCCAGCCCTCACAGCCTTCTTCATTTAGCGTCTTGCTTCCATGTCTCTGGTTCCATCCCATGTGGTGATGCTACACACGAAACCCGTCTCCTCCTTCATTTCCACAAGAGACCCCATTGCACACAGCCACTGGAGGTACAATAAATAAGCTTTAATGATATTTTGGGCGCTGGAGAAAGACAAGGAGCTTATGTGCCACCAAAGCAACCAATGTTCCTTTGTCTCCTCAACTCTGTGGGGTCCCACTGGCCTCATCACCCCTTGAACCCTTTGCCACTGCCATCCTGCTGGTTCGTTATCTCTTCCCCACACTTCTCTGTTCCCCACTCTTCCATCTCTGTCCACAGCAGATCCTCCGTCCTGCTTATTTTCTCTTGCAGAGCAGCTCAGGCTTTGTATTCTCATTTAGCATCTTGGCCCAAGATCTTTTCTCCCTCAAGGTATTTTCCCAAACAGTTTTCTTTATAAGAGGAATTCTGGTGTCTGCCCTCAAGATCACAGACCTTTTTAAAGTAAACTTGTCAGTTGCATCTGAGCAGCTCGGCCTCCTGGGTCTTGGGTCGCATCCATCTTGGTCCTACAGGAGCGTGTCCTGAGCAACTGCAGTGCCGCCTCCCCCTGCATCCCCTCCCCCTGGAGCTGGAAATAGCGTTTGCTTCTTTTGTGGGTTATTTCCTGCCAGTCCCAGCTTGCTGGCTGCAGATGCTGGCTGAAAGTGGCTGCAGATGCTGGCTAAAAGTGGCTGCAGCTGACTACCTTCTTCAAGTTCACGTCCAGTAGTTGTCTCTGCTCCTTGGACACACCCCAGGCAGCTGCTTGCGGCCTGCGTTGCAGCCTCTGGTGACCAGGGTCAGCGGCTATTTCTTATAACCACAGAAGTCTGACGGATACAGAGAATTGGAAGCTCAAGGCCAGAGGCCAAATTTTTACCAGAATTCTCTGGTGGTCTACACCCTTCTGTGTGGTCTGCTATGCAGTAGAGGCTTAACCTTGCCCAAACAAAGATGAGGCCCTTTATCCTCAGCTCCTGGGCATTCATCTCCAAGCCCTTGGAATATCCTGCTGGTAGCTGATCTGAGAGTCTTGGGCCACTCTGGGCCACATCATAAATGATGTGACTTATGGTGGGGGTCTTGGGCCACACGGTACTGGCTTGATGTATGAGGTCAGTCATGTGGGTGGTGAGCTGCTTAATTCAGCACTTTGGGAGGCCAAGGCAGAAGTATCACTTGAAGCCAAGAGTTCAAGACCAGCCTGGGCAACACAGGGAGACCTCATCTCTACAAATAATAAAAAGATTGGCCAGACATGGTGGCACATACCTGTAGTCGTAGCTACTCAGGAGGCTGAGGTGGGAGGATGACTTGGAGTTGAGAAGTCAAGGCTGCAATGAGCTGTGATCTCACCGCTGCACTCCAGTGTGCCAACAGAGCCAGACCCTGTCTCAAGACAAACAACAAACTCTGGACATGAAGATCTCGAGTGAGCTGCTCTGGTTGGCAGGACTTGCATGTCGTCACATGTCGTTGCTGTGAGAATCAGGTGCTGCCTCTATGGCTCCACTGGGAGAGGGCAGCTGGTAGCTGGCGCCTCATCTCTCTTGGAACATGGGCTGTGCACCTCCTCCCTGTGCTCATCTTAATCCCTATCTTTTTACTGTAACAAGCTGTAACTGTAAGCCTAACAGCTTTCCTGAGTCTAGTGAGTCCTTCTAGCAAATGAACAGAGGGTAGTCTTGGAGACCTCTGAACTTGCACCTGCCCCCCTCGTTTTGAGGTCTGACACAGGGAGGGAGGCTGGTCTGTTTGGAGGGGGTCTTCATCCATTGGGGTGGGGTCCAACTCCGGAGGCCCATGTCCTTGCCAGCTCCAGTCTCTCTCCCTGCTCAGTCCCGACGGTGTCACCTTGTGCCCTCTGTCTGTGGATCCTGGGAAGAGCTGGCCTCTCTGCTCACATCTGAATAGGAGATATACTAGAAGAGGGTTTTCATACTTTAGCCTCGGGGCTCTTTTGAACAAAATCAAACACCTTCCCACCGAAGCCCAATGTGCAAAGAACGGCAGGCCCATCCCCTCCCCTCTCCCTGGAAGCCAGGGCGGTGCTTCTCAAGGTGTGGCCACGGGTGGAATTGAGGCGGGGTCGGGGGAGGGTGGGTATTAAAATGCAGATTCCCTGGCCCTATCACAGACCAGACTGTCTGGGACTGCGTCTTAGCAAACTCTACAGTGGATTCTGCCCAGCAGGAAGGGTTGGGAAATGCTGCTTGGGGCACCAGGAGAAAAGACCCAGGCTCCTGCGGGCATCTGGAGACGTCTGGTCTGTAGTCTGTACAGACCCCACACCCTCCTTAGCTCCAACACTGCACTTACCCCATTAGCCGAGGCGCTGGCATGCTCCTCACCTGGGGAAATAGGAGGGGAAGTCGTCAGGAAGGCATAATGCTGGGAAGCATGGGAAGAAGACATGCCTGCGTGTCAGGGCCCTGAAAATGTCAAGTTCTGCCTCTGCTATTACATGGGGGCGCCATTTCCCTTAATGGTATACACGTGTGAGACAGGGATGGCGGGGGTGCTCTGTAAGGATCTGGTCATCCAGTTATTCACTTGGTTATTAAATATCCATAAATATCGAGCCTGGGCTCTAGAACCAGACGGATGGGTTCAAATTCCATCTCTGTCCTTTAGGAGCTGTGTGAACTTGGACAAGTGACTTAACCTCTCTGTGTTTCAGTTTCCTGGACTATTCAACAGGGGTGTATTTAGCAAATAGTAGTTATTATTCAGCAAATGGTAAATGTCTATTTTGTGCCAGGTACATTCTAAGTGCTGGGGACATAGCTGTGAACAAAAGAGATAAAAATGCCTGTTCTTGGGCAGGCGTGGTGGCTCACGCCTGTAATTCCAGCACTCTGGGAGGCTGAGGTGGGCAGACTGCTGGAGTCTAGGAGTTTGAGACCAGCTTGGGCAACACAGTGAAACTCCATCTCTACTAAAAATATAAAAAATTAGCCAGGCATGGGAGCGCATGCCTGTAATCCCAGCTACTCGAGAGGCTGAGGTGGGAGAATCACCTGAGCCTGGGAGGTTGAGGCTGCAGTGAGCCAAGATCACACAACTACACTACTCCAGTCCGGGCAACAGAGTGAGACCTTGTCTCAAAAAGAAAAAAAACCAAAAACCAAAAACAAAAACCTGCTCTTGTGCAGTTTATGTTAATAATAACAATAATAGGGTGGGCGCAGTGGCTCACGCCTGTAATCCCAGCACTTTGGGAGGCCGAGGCGGGCGGATCACAAGGTCTGGAGATCGAGACCACGGTGAAACCCCGTCTCTACTAAAAATACAAAAAATTAGCCGGGCACGGTGGCGGGCGCCTGCAGTCCCAGCTACTCAGGAGGCTGAGGCAGGAGAGTGGCGTGAACCCGGGAGGCGGAGCTTGCAGTGAGCCGAGATTGTGACACTGCACTCTAGCCCAGGGGACAGAGTGAGACTCTGTCTCAAAAAAAAAAAAAAAAAAAAAGATAATAATAGTAACACTAATAGTAATAATAACAATAACAATCATAGCTAATCCATACCCGGTATGTGGCTTACAATGTGCCACCTGCTGTGTTAAGTGTTTTACTGTATTATGAGGTACCGTCACCCCATTTTACAGATGAGGAAACTCAGTCATACAGATTAAGCTATTTGCTTACAGTGACATCACTAATCAAGCAGTAGCTTGAGCGCCCAGATACAGGCAGTCTGGCTCTGGAGTTGACACATTGAATCACTCAGTAAACACTTCCTCGAGTGCCTCTTTTATGCCCAGCCCAGTGGTAGGTGGTCCTGGGGACACAGTCATGACAGTGACAGCCTCAGGTCTGCTCTCTTGGGGCTCACAGTCCACTGGGGAAGACAAACAAGTCCCCCACAGTGATGACCCAGAATGGGCAAGGCTGGGGTGGGAGAGCCTAGTGGATGCTTGGCCCATGCTTGGGGGTCAGGGAGGGCTTCCTGGAAGAGGCAGCATCTGTCCGGGATGTGAGGCAGCAGCTTTGTTTAGTGGTTGAGGGAAAAGCTTGGTAGTCAAAGATCCGGCTTCTTCTCTCCATCAACCACTTCCCAGTTGTTTGACCATTAGCAGGTAACTTCATCTGTCAAACAAATATTTCCTCCTCTGTAACATGGGGAGAACCACTTTGCTGGGTGCTCCCTGATGAGATTGTACAGGCCAGGTGTGGTGGCTCACGCCTGTAATCCCAGCACTTTGGGAGGCTGAGGTGGGTGGATCACATGAGGCCAGGAGTTCGAGACCAGCCTGGCCAACATGGCAAAACCCTGTCTCTCCTAAAAATACAAAAATTAGCTGGGCACGGTGGTGTGTGCCTGTAATCCCAGCTACTCGGGAGGCTGAGGCACGAGAATCGCTTGAACCTGGGAGGTGGAGGCTACAGTGAGCCGAGATCACGCCACTGCACTCCAGCCTGGGCGACAGAGAGCCTATCTCAAAAATAAACAAACATATAAATAATTTAAAAAATTAGAAATTAAAATCGAGGGGGTTATACATACAAAGTGGCACGTAGATGGTGCTCAGCAAAGTATCGCTCCTTTGATTACAGAATTAGCTGGTGCACTTCTCCAGAAGGAGCCATGGGAGGGTGCTCCAGGCAGGGGAACGGCCTGTGCAAATCTCCTGAGGTGTGACAGCATCAGACCCTTTTAGAGCTGAGGATCAGAGGTGCCAGTTCCTGCCAACTTCTCCTAGGAGTCACTCCTGAACAAGGCAGATGGAGTAAGGCTGAGGGGTTAGGCATTATTTCACCCTCTATCCATCTGGCAGGGACTCCCACATCACCTGAATTAAATTCCAAAGTCCCGACCACAGCCTTAAGGCCCTATATGCTCTTCTTCCACTCTGTAAATAAGATTTGTAAATGAACCAGTGAACGAGACTCCCTGGCTCCGAGACTCCCTGGCTCTGCACCGTCATTGGTCAAACGGGGGAAACCTCATGGCAGTGGGGTGATGATTCAGTGAGAAGCACATGGGAAGGACTCAGCACAGAGCCCAGCACATAGTAGGTGCTCAATTATGGCAGCTCTGGTGATGCTCACTCGAGGGAGACAGATGATGGCACCAAAGGAACTCACGGGAACATCTGGACCGATAGAAATAAACCCCGATACCCAGGAGGGTCAGAAGAATCACGATTCCCAGAATCAGGAAGATGATGATGTTACTGGACATGCCTGAGGGCTCACTGGGAGGTCCCTCTGAAAGACAAGGAAACAGGTATTTAGGTAAGAAAACTCTTGGGGTTTATCCCTCATTCTTGAAATGGCATCTCGAATTTCCTTGGGGAGCCGCCACTTCACCTGCCTCAGTCTAGTTAATTTAGGTGGACTGGATCCCACCCTCTGGTTCCTAGAATGGGACTTTGACACAGGCCTGGCCAATCAGAATATTCCATTCTCCCTGGCTGCTATGATTGGTTCATAGGTGGGCTGTGGCCTAAGCTGGGCCAATGAGAGCCAGCCCTGGGACTTTGGCTACAGTTATTGAAAGTGGTGTGTTTTTTTCTCCTGTTGTTGCTATTGTGGTAGGATGTAAGCCTGTCGCTGCTGAGGGCCATCTTGCTTCAAAGCCTGCCTGGGAATAAAGCCAGTATAACAAAAAGAGACAAGAGATGTACAAAATAAAAGTTTCTGGGTTACATGGTTGGAGCCCCTGGATCTAACCATACCTGAAGGTGATTTTTCAATACAGTCTTGTTTTGTTTGTTTTTTTGTTTAGACTACTTTGTGTTTCTGTCAATTGCAATTGATAGAGGTCTGCCTAATACATTTGGAAAGGCCTGCGTCTCTGAGAGAGAGGGATTCCACATCTATCCCAACCTGTGTGTGTGGAGGGAGTGTATTCAGGCAGTTGAACAACGGTACCAGTGGTATAGGTATGGAGTTAACAGGGGAGTACAACTGGCCCCACTGGTCCTTTTGTGAGAAGGCTTAGGAGAAGGATGGGAGCCAGAGAGCACTGGAGAGGGAACCCTGCCTCGACCTCTTCCTTTGGTCCCTGTTCTCCCGACCCAGGGAGTTCCTCACCTTTGACCTGGACGGTCAGTTCTGCCTGGCGAGCTCCTAGGGCATTGGTGACGTTGCAGATGAAAGTTGTGTTGATTGGTTTGTCCACAGGACGGATCAGGAGCTGGGCGCCCTGGGCCACAGCGAAGGGTGGCAGGGGACCCATGGTCCTGGGAGCGACAGAAAGGTGAGGAGGTGGCCTCTGCTGCAGGTCCGGAGTGACAGTGATTGAGGACTCACTGTGTGCCAGAAACCCTCACGCCCTCTATGGCATAAGCGGAGAGCAACTCTGGAGGCCCCCAACTCTTCCCTCCCTCTCACGCCCACACCCAACCCATTAGCCAATCCTGTCGGCCCCGCCTTAAGATCTACCCAGAATCCCACCGCTCCTCAGGGCTTCCAGGGCCACCTCCCTGCTCTGGCGCGGTGCATCCGGGCCCCCAGCAGCCGCCTCCACACTGGGCTCTGTTTCTGCCCTCGCCCCCTCATCTTTTCCCCACATGGCCACCAGAGGTCGCCTGTGAACCCTAAGTCAGTTCCCATCCCTTAGCTCAGTACCCTGTGGCCGCTCAGCCTGGCTCAGAGTTAAACAGAAGTCTTCTCCTGTCACAGGCCCCACATGATCTGGTCCCTGCTACCTCTGCCCACGTTTTCCATTACTCTCCCCTTTGCTTCAGCCTCTGCATCCACAGTGGCCTCCTTGTTGGTCCTCAAACTCTCCAGTTAGGTGTCCAGTGTGTTTGCTTATGCAGGGACTGATGGATAGAAATGGGTTTGCCCATGCTGTTCCCTCTGCCCGAATGCTTTCCCCCCAGGTACCCACAGAGCTCACCCTCATCTCCTTCAGGCCTCTGCTGGGACGTCACCTTAGTAACACCTCACTTGGCCACCCTATTTCAACTGCGACAATCACCCTTCCCATTCCCTTCTCTCTTTTATTTAATTATTATTTTTTTGAGACAGGGTCTCACTCTGTCACCCAGGCTGGAGTGCAGTGGCACCATCTTGGCTCACTGCAACCTCCACCTCCTGGGTGTACAGAATCTCCCCACCTCAGCCTCCTGAGTAGCTGGGACTACAGGTGTGTGCCACCACACCCGGCCAATTTTTGTATGTTTTTTGGTAGAGATGGGGTTGTGCCATGTTGGCCAGGCTGGTCTCGAACTCCTAGCCTCAAGTGATCCTCCCATCTCTGCCTCCCAAGGTGCTGGGATTACAGGCATGAGCCACGACACCCAGTCTCATTCCCTTCTCTGCTTTATCTTCTCCATGGCATTTATCACCATTGCACACACACTACACACTTTATGACTTTATCTTGCTTCTTGTTTCTTTCACTATTAGAATGGAAGCTCCATATGGGGAGGAAATTTGGTCTGTTTTATTGACTCGCATATGTCGGTTAGTTGCACCTGGCTTACTTACTACAGTAAGTAGTCAAGGAACACTGGTTTAATGAACAGAGGTGGAGGAGATGGAAGCATCGGGCTTTGGGCATCTGCAGAGCTGGGATGCAAACACAGCCAACCGGATCAAGAGCCTGAATTGTGGCACTTTGAGGCAGGACAGTAAAGGCACCATCATACCAATCGAAAACCTTTGACCAGCAATTCCTTCCACTGACAACTGCTGACAAGTGACCACTGGGGATGGTCACCACCATGGCATATGCAGAGTTGAAAATGGAAAATGACATCTGTGTCCTCTACTGGGGACTGGTTAAATAACTGATGTCATCCACATATGTTGGAATCCCTTCCCTGCCCTTTGGGAGGCCCAGGCGAGAGGACTGCCTGAGTACAGGAGTTCAAGACCAGCCTGGGCAACAGAGTGAGATCCTGTCTCTATTCTTAAATTTTTTTTTTTTTTTTTTTTTTTATTAAAGTGATGGAATCCCAGCAACACTGAAAAAGGGGCCAGGTTAGCCAGGCGTGGTGGTGTGTGCCTATAGTCCCAGCTATCTGGGAGGCTGAAGCTGGAGGATCACTTGAGCCCAGGAGTTCAAGGCTGCAGTGAGCTATGATTGTGCCACTGCATTCCAGCCTGAGCAACAGAGTGAGGCCCTGTGTCAAAAAACAAACAAACAAAAAACAGGGGATCTGGGGGTGCTCTGAAGTGCATAATATGATTGATGGATGAATAGAGGGACCGAAGGAATCACAGAAACATGATAAAGCAAGCACTGTAAAATGTTAGTGGGGGAATTCACGTGGTGGTATCTTAAGTGTTCACTGGAAAATTCCTACGATTTTTCTGTATGTTTGACAGTCTCCCTAATACAACGTGGGGGAAAATGGAGTGTGGATCTCTGTGCTTTGACATGGGAAGGTATTCACAAGATACAGGAAAAGTTTCAAAATTATATGTATAGCATAATTCCAGTCTTTGTTAGAAACAGAGAAGAAAGACAGAAGGATGTATAATAAGTGGTCACTGGGTATTTCTGGAGGTGGCTGGGTACACTTGACTATAGGTGCTTCTTTATTCTTTTTTCTCATAACAATTTGGTTGATATTTCTACAGTGGATACAAGTTACTTTTGTAATAAGGAAAAAGACGTAAGGCTGGGCAAGGTGGCTCACACCTGCAATCCCAGCACTTTGGGAGGCTGAGGTGGGTTGATTGCTTGAGCCCAGGGGTTGGAGACCAGCCTGGGTAATGTGGTGAAACCCTGTCTCTGCAAAAAAATACAATGAAATTAGCTGAGTATGGTGGCGTGTGCCTGTAGTCCCAGCTACTCAGGAGGCTGAGCCAGGAGGATCACCTGAGCCCAGGGAGGTCCAGGCTGCAGTGAGCTATGATTACACCGCTGCACTCCAGCCTGGGTGACAGAGCCCCTTCTTAAAAAAAAGAAAAAAAGGTGGTTCAGTAAAATTATGTATTATAAAATTTTGTATTACCCCTTTGCCTTTTTCTCATCCTGCTCTTGACCCCAGTTTCAGTATGAATCTGGAGAAATCTTATTGCTGTGAGCCTCAACTTTCTCATCTAGACAATGGGGATAGTACTTGCTCCATCCAGAGATAACCAAGTAGGTTATATAAGGTGACGGTGAGGTGGTTACAGTCGAGAGTTGGGGTGTCCAATCTTTTGGCTTCCCTGGGCCACACTGGAAGAAGAAGAACTCTCTTGGGCCATACATAAAATACACTAACACTAATGATAGCTGATGAGCTAAAAAAAAATTGCAAAAAAGAAATCTCATAATGTTTTAAGAAAGTTCACAAATTATGCGGCCTGCAGGTTAGACAAGCTTGGCCAAGAGGCGGAGGACCAGCTTTGGAGCCAGGGCTGATTCAAGGGCCGCTTCTGCCCTCTTGTGGCTGGTCTTTAACCTGGGCATGACAACAGCTGCTGACTCTGCACAGCATGTGGTCACGTGGGATTCGGGGGAAGTACGGGGCACAGAGCAGGCACACCCCAAGAGCAGGTGCATCCACCAGCCAGGATTAAACCACCTGCTAAACGCCTCAACTGGAAAACAGAGATGTCGAAACAGAGATGCCCCCCCATTGGGGGACCCTGAAGTCAACCTCCTCTTTTTTTCTTTTCTGAGTCCCCTTGCTCTCTTAGACCAGGGTTCCAGGCCCCCAGCCTCTCCTCCCTCAGACCCAGGGGTCCAGGCCCAGCCCTCCTCCCTCAGTCCCAGGAGTCCAGGCCTCCAGCCCCTCCTCCCTCAAACCCACAAATCCACACCCCCAGCCCCTCCTCCCTGAGACCCAGGACTCACGTGCTCCAGTTGTAGCCTGTGGGCTCTGGGTTGCTGCGAGCGTCGCAGGTCAGGGTGGCCTCATTCTGGCTGAGGTACCAGTTGTTATCATAGCCAGAGATGGATACCTCTGGGGGATCTGCAGGAAATGGACACAGAGGTTCAGAGACAGGGAGACTTTGGGGAGCCAAGGGCTACGTGGGATTCACGTCACTGCAGGAAAAGGCCTGGGGATATTTGGAAAACAGCAGGAGCTGGAGAGGCCTAGGAGGACTCTAGGGAGATGGGGTGCCGCAGAGAGCAGAAGCCTGGGAGTCTGTGGTCAATGGGCACATGGAGAGGGCTTCTGAGGACCTGCTTTTCTCCACTAGCTTTCCTGGGTAGCCCGGACCAGGCATGTCTTGGGTGTCCTGCAGGAAAAGGCCTCCTCCTTTACTCACTCATAGGCAATGACCACTCATAACACACGGCAGTGTATTCAAGGCTCCGACAAGTCCTCCGGGAAAGAGTCCTGGATAACCCTGCTCTAGGCTGCTGCTCAGCCATCCCAGATGTGATTTCAATGTCCTCAGGGGGCAGGCCAATGGGACAGGGTTTTTTGGGGGCGAGGGGTAGGAGTCAGTGTAGATTTCCTCCTAGCTCAGACCCAGTGACAGTGTTGAGGGACTCCAGGATAGACAGTACCTGAGGGAATCTGTGTACCACTTGCCTGGCAGGGGAGTAGGCAGTATAGACAATGATGGGAGGAACAGTATGAATGATGCCTAGAAGAGCTTGTGTGGATATTACTGATGGGCTCAGTGTAGACAGGATATTGGAATATTACAGTAGATGCTATATTGTCAGGCCAGTGTTGAAAATGTTGTGGTGGGGGTGAGATCACCCCCACATATAGACTGTGACCCCAGGAGCTGGTGAAATTAAGACAGGCCCTGTGTGTGTGTGTGTGTAGACAGTATTTGGATGAGCCAGTGTAGACAATGTGGGAGCTTAGTCTAGATCTGTGCTGTCCAATGTGGCACTTACTGGCCACATGTGACCATTGAGCACGCGAAATATAGCCAGGCTGAAATACACACCAGATTTCAAAGGCTTTACTAGGGCAAAATAAATGGGAAAGATCTCAAGAATAATTAAAAAAAAACAATTACAAGTTGAAATAATATTTTGGGTATATTGGGCAATTATTAAAATTAACTTTGGCCAGGCTCATGCCTATAATCCCAGTACCTTGGGAGGTTGAGGCAGGAGGATTGCTTGAGCCTAGGAGTTTGAGACCAACCTGGGCAACATAGGGAGATCCTGTCTCTATAAAAAATAAAAATAGGCTGGGTGTGGTGACTCATGTCTGTAATCCCAGCATTTTGGGAGGCCAAGGTGGGTGGATCATGAGGTCAGGAGTTTAAGACCAGCCTGGCCAACATGGTGAAACCCCATCTCTGCTACAAATACAAAAATTAGCTGGGCACTGTAGCCAGGTCTTGTAATCTCAGCTACTCAGGAGGCCGAGGCAGGAGAATCGCTTGAACCCGAGAGGCGGAGGCTGCAGTGAGCCGAGATCGCACCACTGCACTCTAGCCTGGGTGACAGAGGAAGACTCCGTCACACACACACACACACACACACACACACACACACACACACAAATTAGCTGGGCATGGTGTCACATGCCTGTAGTCCCAGTTACTCAGGAGACTGAGGTTGAGGTGGGAGGATCAATTAAGACCAAGAGGTTGAGGCTGCAGTGAGCTGTGCCACCGCACTACAGTCTGTGTGACACAGTAAGACCCCGCCTCAAATAAATAAATAGATAAATAAATAAACAAATACATTTCATCTCTTTCTTTTCTTTTTTTGATTTTGAGACAGAGTCTTGCTCTGTTGCCCAGGCTGGAGTGCAATGGCGCGATCTTGCTCACTGCAACCTCAGCCTCCCAGGTTCTAGCAATTCTCCTGCCTCAGCCTCCTGAGTAGCTGGGATTATAGGCACCTGTCACCATGCCTGGCTAATTTTTGCATTTTTTGAGACCAGCCTGGCCAACATGGTGAAACCCCGTCTCTGCTACAAATACAAAAATCAGCTGAGGCAGGTGGCTCACTTGAGGTCAGGCTGGTCTGGAATGCCTGACCTCAGGTGAGCCACCTGCCTCAGCCTCCCAAAGTGCTGGCGTGAGCCATGTGCCTGGCCTCTTTCTTTTAATTTTTTTAATGGGGTGGCTGCTGGAGAATTTAAAATCCTATATGCAGCTTGCGTGCTATTTCTGTTAGACAGCACTGGTTAGAGAGTCCCTGGGGCTGTCAGTGGAGATAAACGTGTGGGTGTCAATGTTGATGACGCTGTGAGGGAGCTGCTGGAGGTAATGCTGTGCAGGAGAACCAGGACAGATGCTGTCAGGGGCCGTGCAGACAGAACACAAGGAGGCCAGTGTGGTGATGTGGGGCGAGACTCCATAGCCTGTAAGTGAGCCAGTGTAGACAACATTGGGCAGAGGAGCATGGAGACTACTCTGGAGGACTCTGCAGACACTGCTGAGGGGAGCCAGCACAAACAATGTGGGAAGATCAATGCAGCCAGCACCCGGCAGAGATGGTCGATCGTGGCTCAGGGGAACTGGTCGATACAATGTGGGAGGTGAATGCAGACAGTTCTCCAGGGAGTCAGTGTAGACAGTGTCGAGGGGCACTTTAGAGAGTGCCCAGGAGAACCAGTGTAGAAAAAGTGGGGTGTTTTCACTGTGTCCCATGGTGTCTACACTGGCTCCTATG